GCCTTTAAATCACTAAGAGTAACAGGACAGTATGCAAACAATTGGCTTGCGGCCTTTGCTGGAGTAAATGGACTGAGTGACTTGAAATTGATATTATTACCTCGAAATTGTTCCTCAATAATGGCAGATTCGTCGACCCAGTAAAAGAGGGCGGCGGAAAACCAGGCGTGAAGTAGGAAAGCCGCTTGAATTACTAGTGCTTCCCGCAGTGTCCACTGGGAGAGTATCCACGCGATCATATGATTAGTCGCAAATGCACCAATGCCGCCACCTGACACCATTATGCCACATGCAATTCCAAAGCTGAAAGAAAAATATGGATTTTTTTGTCTGACGAATACCAGAGAGCATTCGCAATATCGACAGACCGAAATGGGGTTGATAAGACGCGAGAAGCCTATCTGGTGTACAGGGTAATATTAAATTCACATATTTATAAAATACCACGAAATCATTTCTGAGGTTTATTGGTGCTCAGCTTAATGAATTATTGAAATAATGGGATGGACATAACGTAATGTATGGCCTTATTAAAAAGCCCACGTCTTGCGATAGTTTTAGGTAACGCGTTCGGCGAACCATTTTCTGAAAAAAAGTTGACGGAAAGATTCCCTAGTCCTTTCTCCACCTTTGTACCGAATTTAAATGCACCAGTTATAATATTTTAAAAATGCACTAATATTTTGCAAGTATATCAAGGAAGTGAAACCTTTTTTACCTTTGGGGGGAAATGAATCGAAAATGAGGTACGATTTGGAGAATAAGATTTTTGTGTTATGTATACGGCTTCAATGATCCCTATCAAGAGGCAGCTGAACTGCTACCTGTTTGCGGTTTAATGTAGGCAGAAAATATACGGTCAATTTTTTTACTTGACAGTTCGTAGTTGTTTTTGGTGAATATTCAGTTTCCCGATACAATTATTGGCTTTAAGGGCCAGTGGGAATACAAATGTAAAACATTTTAGTCACAAAATCTTTTTGCAAACATTCTTTCATTTCGGTCATTTTCGCGAAAGAGGACAAAATAAATTTTGAAATGTCGATACCCTACGCAGAGCTCGAGGCAAGTGATGCAGATTTAATGATGTCAAACGCTGATAAGGAAACGGCTGCTTGAAATAGTATCGACTAGTTTGGGTATCTTTAGAATGCGGATTGTCGCGAAGCTAAACCGAGACATTGGGGACATTAAGTACTCATCCATCCTATTAACTCTAAAGAACAACTTTCAAACCGGTCACATAGGTGTGAATGAAAATAATTATTCATATTCGTTTATAAGTATTTCGATTTTGGGTTAAAAAATTAATTTTGACAAGTTAAAAGTGGTAATCAAGCCCATGATTAAATGACAAACACGCTAACAGTATGAGAATAAAAAAATATAAGTTGACACAATTATCAAACTTTTAAAGTCTGTTGAACAAAATAATCGATAAAAGTTCATGCTTGATTACCCTAAATAATCAATTAAAACGTCAGCACAAAATTAAGAAATTTTAGCAAACTTTGTTGCCACATTCAGTTTTCAAAATGAGCGTAGGTAACACAAGCTAAAGGGTTAGGTTTAATAAGTAAACTCCAGAGAAGGCAGTTAATACGACCGTACCAGAAAAGCCTAAAACAAATTGATGCATTGGGGTAAGTATTATTAATGAGTGATGAGTGCAGGGGCAGAAGCAGCACAGAATAAAATACTACAGATTAATTAGTGCATTAATATTAATATAATAATAAATATTACTGTCCTTCAAGGGACAATTTTCAATTAATTTTATGGCATTATCAAAAAAAACAAAAATCGGGGAACAAAATTAGCATATTTCTTGCATGCCTTATTCTAAATTGCTGCGTATCAAGTTGATGACAGTATATTTTAGAAAAACTAATCCTGAGCAATAAATTCACGTAAGGATTTATAAAACCCACTATTTGCTGTCCTTAAAAGTTGAGACGACGGCCATAAATGCGGCGGTATATGTCAACTGTAGTCCAATAGCCGTGACCAGACCGAAGGAAAAGTACGTCAATTCCATGGACTTCGCGAACGACGTAACTAAAATTGCCAATTATGTAAGTGGAACATACATAAGAAACTTAAACACAGAAAAAGGGCTCCCCATGCCGCAGACGTAGAGTATCCAACAACATCCGTAATAGGACACAAGAATGGTGACATAAATTGTGGAAGAGCATATATGAGGGCGGGCAAAATTGACGTTGCAGCACTGTTGTATTGGTAGAGATTCCGAAATTCCGTAAATAATATACCAACAGAGTACGTACAGCCATCAGCAATAAAGTAAGATATAAATCCACCAAGAAC